ATAAGGTGCTACGATGCCTTTAATTACCATACGAAGATACCGATAGACCTTATACCTACGCCATAAGCCTGATCGGGGACGTACCGATTAGGATTAAGAGATCCATATAAACGATACCGCGATACGAACGAATTAAATACGATATTAAATAAGATAGCCTAGAAATAGCCATAAGATAGAAACGAGTTATAGGATTACCTAGAGACCCCTCTTATCGCCTTTACCGATATATAGTTGGTAGGAAGAGCCTAGAGAGCCCTTAGAACTACGTATAGGGGAGGGATCGAGGGTTAAGGAAAGCCCGGTAGATACTGCCGGACGAATATAGGAACGGTTATACGAAACGAGTTATAGAAACGGGCATTGAATAGGATATATTAGTTAGTTTATAGGATTAGGAATTAGTTAAAAAGGATCGGTAAAAGATAGCTATGGACGAGAAGGACGGAGATTACGTTATATCGTATGGGATTATTTCTTTGTTTCTTACGGAAGCTACGTTTGTTTTACCTGCCCGTTGTAGTTTCTGTTTTCCTGACGGATCCCTATTGTTTTTTAATGGCCCTAATGGACCTGGCTCGCTCTTAGTTGATTAGGGTTAATTAGGAATAGGTTGATTAGGTTAGTTTATAGGTTATAGCTCCGCTAGCCTAGTTCTTATTATTAGGTCTTTCCTGTTTCCTATTAATCGTTAATTAAACTAGCTTAGCTCCTAGTTAATAGCGATTGAATAGGTTCGGGATTGATTAGGTTTAGGCATAGTTAGGTACGGTTGCAGTCACCTACCCTACTACCCACTTGTTGCTGTTGCAATTGTCTCCCGTTGTTTCAGGATTACCTGTTTTCCTGACTTATCCTGTTGGCCTTTGATTGAACTGGCTAGCTTTCAGTTGATCAGGGTTGATCGGGATCAGGTTGATCAGTGGTTGATCAGGTTCAACAGGAAACGAGGGCCACCGCACCTGTTATTAGGAGTTCAATTGCTCCTTGCGGATTAATTAAACTAGGGAGGCTGTAGTGGTGCGGTGGATCTAGGCCACGTAGCCTTTTCGATATATATTTATATGGATCGCGTACTTATATTTTCATTAGTTAGACTTAGACCTATAGATATTACGACCTATAGCCATTTACTCGTTTCTTGCTATGCCTTTCTAGTTATCCTCGTCTTTGCCTTTCTAGTTCCCTTTCCCAGCTGCCGTTTTTAGCTGGCCGATTAACCGATTACAGCTGTTTATAGCTGTAATCTTAGTTGATCGGTACTAAGCCAGTTGTTAGTAGTTAGGCAGTCCTTATTTCGTGCCTCTATTATAGCGTGTCTACGCTGCTCCTGTTCAATAATTATAAAGCTTTCTACCTTGTTAATAATCGCAACCTTTTAATAAATGGGTCGTTCGTTCTTACTAGAGATGGATAAACAGTCGAAGCTAATATAACAAGCTTCCTTATTACTAGTACGGGTCATAGGATTATTAAGAAATATATCTTAAATTAATCTAATAAGCTTACCTTTAATTTAAAGCTTAAGGACGTCGTACTTATTAAAGATTTTTACATTAATATTATCTCCAAAGCGAAACTTCGTAGTATAGGTATTTAGTTTTACGGTTTAGATTATACTTTAAGGAATAAAACCCCCGAGAAAAGTACTATAGTAAGGAAGCTAAAGCGACGCTTTAACCTAGTCTTTTTCGAATTTAAATAGTTCTCTTTTTATTCATAAGTCCTATCCGTAATATTATTTTGTCGCGTAAAACGTAGACGCCTACATTTACGCTTTGCGGTATGTATGCTTATATAGGCTGGTTTAATTACTACGTAACATATTTATAATACCATCGAGCATTTCACGTAGCGTAGCGTCGATCGTAATAATACCTTATTTCCCGGAAAGAAATGTCCAGTAGAGAAGATCGAGAGATACTACTAAACCGAGAGAAGACTCCGAGGCATTCTAGTATTAAAGAATAAGGTATCTTAGCCTTAAGACGCTTAAAGCCTTTGTTAAAAACGCCCAGAACGTTAAGATTAATAGTATACCTATAATTAAGTACGAGTATTATAGTTGAGCGATAGGTAAGAGAGTAATTTCGCGCCGTCTACTAATATATCGCTCGCTACGTTCCTTCTAGAAGGTATATTACGATCTATTTAACTACCTGGAAGGTTATAATATGTTTAAGTAGCTTATCGTAATCAAGGATAAATTTAACGAAATGTTATAAGTTAAGACTCTAAAAAGTAAGTAAGGTTTATTAGTAATAAGAATTCTTTGATTCTTTAAGAGATAGTATAGTAGTGCGGTAAGACATGCTCTCTTGATGTACTACGTAACACGCTACGATAGGCCTTATGCCTATATAGAATAACCATAGCTCCCGTAAGTACGGGCTATACTATACTTATCATCGAGTTTACTACTTAATTAGATTACTATCTTTATTATTTTTACTTTAATTAAAGATTTCTTTTTATTCTTAGATTCGTTATTCTTTTATTAATATATTTATTTTAATTATAGGCGCTTACGTTACTTCGTCGTACCGCTATGGCCGAATAAGTAACTTTTACGTTTTACTTCTTTTCTCCCCTTACCTCTTATACCTTCGGGCTAGCGACTATTACATCTCTACGACTAAGGAGTATAGCTAAGATATAATAACTACAATAGATTCCTCCTCTTTCGGTTAGTATAGTAATATTAGTTTCATCCGTCTTAAACTATCGTACGAACTATAGTTTTCGATAGAATATACTTTCGAGTAAACCTATCCGGGCCTTTAGTATCGCGTCCGCTCTACTCCTCCTTACTACCGCTTAATTAAGAGCGAGTAATTACGTGAGTAATTATTTTCATTTATAACGGATTATGGAAAACTAAGTAAGGGGTACGAAGAGTATATAACTTAGGAGAAAATATTACTACTAATAAACTGGAGCATATACGGATAAGGGGACTTAAGGGAGCCCGAGATAGGGTACCTAGTAATCGATTAACCTTAACGAGGCATACCGAAACTAGGGAGTAACCCCCCTGGGTTATTATCGCGAGTAAAGGACTATAGTTAACCTTATTATCGTAAGCTTAACTAGGGGGTATATTACGTAGATATATATCCCTAGTAGGAACTACCTAGCTTACCTAAGCTAGTTAAGTACTTTTATATATACCCGTAGATTACTCTATACTCTTTAGTAGCTTTTCTTCTTTTTAGTTAATTAATATATACCTTCTTACCCGTATTTTGTTACTTTCTTTACGCGTAACCTATTAACCTATACGTAGCTCTCGCAAGCTACGTAATAGATAGTTAGTTAATTTCCCTTCTTCTTCCTACCTTCCGTTGCTCCTAAGAAGCAACCTTAGTGCCTACGTAGCTCTCTCGATCTATGTATTAACATATAAAGTACAGAATTAACTGCGTATTAAAATAACTAAATTAGGTAATAGGGTTACTATTTATAATTTCGGCGAGGCTACCGCCTCCGTGCGTAACAAATTAAAATCGAAGCCGATATACGGCCTATGTATTAGGATACTATCTGTTATCGGATACCGTTAGGATACTAGATTAGTCATGTAGAATATTAGGATACTAATACCATGGGAGTAATATTAATGGCCTAGCAGCTATTGGCGGTAATAATAACCTTTCTTCTTCCGATAAACCTTATAAGTAACTTATTTTCCAAATTTTATAATATAAAAAAAGTACGCGATTAAATAATAATATACGTTAGCGTTAATTTTATTATATGAAATTTACTTACGAAATAAATCTTTATTTGTATTAATAGTAATAACGACGACGATAATAATGATAACGGCAACGATAGCGACCATAATAATGATAAGGAAAGTGTGCTACTTTATAAAGTTTACTTTAATAAAATTAAGCAATTATAAATTAATGCTTACGTAAAAAGAACTACTATATAAAATAATATAAAAAACATAAAAAATTACATATATACGATAGTTGATAAATATAAAAAATAATTATTATTATTATAATAATTATTACGTTTACGTTAACATATTTTAGGAAACCGAGCCCGAGCTCGTTAAGTTTATAAAATAAAATACAAATACGATTTTCAAAAAAGAATTTTAGAAAGATACATTAATTTATAATGAAACTTGCTAACGTAGAAATTTAATTTAAAATAAGCTTTTAATAAAGTTTATAAAAAAACTAGAAAGGTAATCCGTAAAACGGAAAAACGAATAATAAGATAGAAAGGATTACATATTAATGTCTTTTTTAAAGACAAGTTATTACAAGAAACCTTATATATATTACAAAAAAAAGATACGAATACGTAGAAAAACGTAAAAAGAAAACGTAAAAGGAAGAATAATAAAAGTATAATTTTAAGGTTTCCATATTTTTGATAAATATAACGTTCTTTTTTAATATATAAATTACGTACCTATGTAATTTTAACTTTAAAAAACTTTTTCTCTATTAAATTTCTTTTATATTTCATTCTTATTAAATTCGTTTTACTTTGTACGTTTTTTATTATAAATATTATATACTTTATTCAATATAATATACATTAACATAAAAATTTAAACCAGTTTCGTATTTATAATAAATCATTTCTTATAAGTTATAAGTTTTTTATATACAGTTTCTTACATCTTTTAGGTTTTCTATAATGAATAAAGTTTGTAAACAGAAAAGTCGTTATTAGATAAATTAAATATACTTCTTATATTTCTTTATTCTCTAAATAAGTTATTATTTTTAACGTTTATATTAAAAATATGCCCTAATTATTCAGCTTTGCAGAATAATCTCGACAGTATTTTAATTTTTAAAAACCTATATTAATAGCGTTAGACGTAGTTAAAAATAGCGACTTTTGCTGTTTTTTTGTAAGGGGCACGGTGGCCGGTGGTAGGTGTGGCCTGTGGTCACGTGACAGGTGGTACGAGATTCTCGAATGCGTACCCACGTCGAGGGGCGTTAAATAGGTAGGTAGGTATACCTGTACCTGTTAGATTAAACCCGTCTGTTCTCAGCAGGAATTTGTACCAATGAGTGATACGAAGGCTCTGTTCTCCGCCTCGCTCATCTCGCAGGAAGTCAGCCGCTCCCTGCCTGATGGTTTCGCCATCCGCCCGCTGGAGAGGGGAGACTATGGCAAAGGTCTCTTCGACTGCCTCCAGGTTCTCACGTGGACCGGTGACGTCAAAGAGGCTGAATTCGTCCAGACATACAACGAGATGATTGACGCGCAAGGAACATATTACTTTGCCGTTATCGAGCACGAGAACCGCATCGTCGGAACGGGAGCTCTAATCGTGGAAAAGAAACTGTGCGTCCTTCCTACTTCCAGGATTAGAGGCGGCGTCGGATTCTTACGAGACTAGCATACATAACCGCGGCAAGTGCGGGCATATCGAAGAGATCGCTGTAGCGGAGGAACACCGGGGTAAAGGGCTTGGCTTGACGATGATCCGAGCCCTCGACTCCGTGGCCATGAACGTCGGCTGCTACAAGAACATCCTCAACTGCGGGCCCCGCAACGAACCGTTCTATGTCAAATGCGGGTACCACCATTCCGGCATGGAGATGTCGCGCTACTTTGAAGAGGAGCAGAACGCGTATCGGCGTGGATGAGGGGTCTCGGAGCTGGAGAGGGAAGTCGGGGCGAACGGCAGAGAGGGCTGTCAATAGGTATTTGATGGGAGCAAAGACAGCAACATACCTTAACTAAGTAACATTCTATAGTTGCCTAGGTACGTAGAAGCTTCGCTATGACGGCGGCAAAACCAGGCCCTACCGGTATCATCATCTTCCAGCCCAAGGGAGCCCGCAAGAACGTGTGCCGCACCCCAAGTGCGGAGACTTTGCCTCCCCCCTCGATCCTCTCGGGGGTATCGGACAGGCGGGGTGCACCGACAAACGAACCGGGCCTGTTCTGCACCCCCGGCCCATCGGCATTACATTTGCGAAAAAGTGTGGGCGTGATCAGGTTGTAATAGGGGTTGCTGCTCGGCGGCATGAGGGTGGTGCCATACCCAGATCGAAGCAATCGCCCTCTTCTACCAGTCGTCGTAGTCTAACGTGCCCTGGAGGGCATACTTGCGTTGCACCATAGCCGGCTTGCTTACTTGCTCACCCGCCACTTGCCCTAGCCTCGCAACCGGGTTCGCCGTCAACGGTACGCCACCCACGGGCGGGAGAGAGATTCCGTCTCGCATGGTGACCGTGCTTCGTGGGATGAGGACCCGCTGCCGACCTGGATACATCGTTGCTTGCCAACAAGACCGACACGCGCCGTAAACGCAAACATGGCGTACGTGTTCGGAGCCGTCCAACCAGATCGGATGGACAGCGTTCGGATTGGCAGCTCTTGGTGTTCCTTGCGGGGAGCCATACGACCAGCTGATCATGCACGCACCCGAGAGTATGCAGGCGCTTTGTCACCCACGCATGTAGGCAGGAGACCCTGCATAGTTATGCCCTGGTTCTACACGTGCTCTGGAATGGCCGACGAATGAGACGTAGGTAGGTACTGTTCCTCTAAGCTTCAGTGAAGCCATCGGATTCAGCGATCCTAACGCAACGCTAGGACGCGTATGCCGTCGCAAAAAGGAAGCTTTTGTATTTAATTCTATCGACTATGGGAAGCCGTGAGGATGGTGATGGAAATCTAGGTGCCCTAAGGCTATGCAGTTTTTCTGCGAGCTATCCGATTTTATGAAAATGATGAACGACTCCGATGTATTCCAAACGTAGACTTGGGTCAGGCATGCCTTGAGCATCCTCTACCTAGAATCCCCAAACGCCTATTTTCATCTCTATATTCTTTTTGTGGGGGGGGGGGGGGGGGCGAGCAGGTCGTGAAGTATTCTCGAGGCCGAGATTATTGCCTAGGCCCGTCCCTCTTGTCCTTTCTAGCAGCCCCATAGGGAGGATGTGGAGCTGCGGCTTCGTATCCGGATGAGTGATGATTGTAGATAGCAACGTCTCTGTCACCGCATCGACGGTGGGCATCGATATGGTATCCTCCTTCGGATCAAGTTAGTCATCATTGGCGTGTTCATTTGGCTATGTGAGGTTGTACATACCACTGACGGCTGATCGGAACTGTTCGTGCATGACGCCTGTGTAGGAGTCGGAGCTGGCGCTCGGACGTGAGTTGCCGCTGTTGACGATAACTGGGGAGGATCTGGAGTAAGAGGACTTGTCGTTGGAAGATCCCATCTTGACCCTGTTGTGCCCCGGCCCCGGATTGTGATGAGATAATCAGGTTTCGTAGTAGGCAGGTATATACGGCTCTCGCACGGTTGACTAACGACACTTGATTATGAGGTAGGGATAGTGGCAATCACCTGGTCGTTAAAGGCATGAGAAACGAGCAAAAAGCAGAGGTGAAAGATGGAACTCTGGTATTCTCCCTCGCTCTCCCTTCCCCTCTCTCTCCCTCTCTCCCTCTCTATCTATATATATATACACACACACACACACACACAGAACAGGGCAGGATATTAATATGCCTAGTCGAGAATCCTAATGATGATCTGTGTGAGGAAAAGACAAACAACAGGCGATGGTAGCACCTGCATAGCAACGGTTGGTGGCAACTAAGCGGCGGAGCAGAGCCATAGGCTGACTAGATCGGGGTCTGAGGAGGCAGCGACGATGACAGCCGAGAGTTCAGTGTTCGGTCAACGCACACCGAAGCAATGAGTCACTTGGCCGGAGTTCAAGGCAGACAGGAAGGGGAGGGAGGGAAAGGGGGGACCGGCGGTGAGGCAGCGGCCCAGGAAGCGAAAGCTGAGCAACAACATATTCTGCGCCTGGTGAGGTGGAAGCGGGTTATAGAGGCAGCAAGAGGCAGAGGGAGAGAGTCGGGAAGCGAGAGGCAGAAAAAAACCCCCAATACGTCTGCTATGCATCCACTCGTCTTTGCCTAGTTGCGCGCACTGGTGGCGCGGTTAGTACGGAGCTGAGCACATAGCTAAGGCTGAGTGTCGCGAACGTTTCCTGACGCGTCGTAGGTTCGGTATGTGTCGTCCTCTGCGTCGCCCCGTCGCAGGCTGCACTGCTGCTGGGCCGCCGAGTGGGGGCTGATGTGCCGAGGCTCAGGTTACGTTACCGGATTGGGTTGGGTTGGGTTTAGTTTGGCGGGGCTTCTCCAGGTACCCAGGGTCGGTCCTATGGGCCTTGGAGGGAGGGGTTAGGTATACCCACAGGCAAGTAGACGGGCACCTATACCTACCTACCTAGGTACCTGTAAGGGCAGGCAGACGAGGTACCCGAGGCAGCAGTCATTGTACACAGGTACCTCGTGACGTGCAAATAAGCCTTGGGGGTAACATAGGTCGACAGGATGCGGGAAAAGGGCAACGGCAAATGCTACACCACTCACCGAGACTCGCTGCGGAAATCCAGAAACACTAGTTAGGACTTCTAGTGTCCTTCCTATGAGTAAGTCTAGGACAAGACGCAATCAATCCGCCGTCAGCTACGTCTCCATATCGTAGGTATTGTCACGGGCGCATCGGTTTGCGTCTGCCTAACGCACCTTAGGGTAGCTATTCGAGTGCTAGGTAAGTAAGGATAAAGGCCTATTAGTTCCCGCTAGGCTTGATCGAGTCGGGATAGTCACGTGCTGCTAATGTCCCGCTGACCTAGCCGGTGTAGTCTGTAATCACATGACATGTGGTACGTATTGAGGCCTACCTTAGGTACCTAGGTACCTCTATCCACACACCTACTACGTCAGCAGGTAGTTAGGTTGGGTAGAGGTAGGTTACCGACATTCCAGCGCTTTCTTCTGCGCATCGCATAGAAGCTGAAGCGACCGTACTTAAGCGAGCCTCAACTGCACACGATGGCCTATATTCCTGACATCCTGTCCCGTAGCCCCTCGCTCCGGGGTTTCCGCGTGGGAGATTCGCTAAAGGCTGGACAGGGGACCGCGCTCTGGCATAATACTTTATCCTGGACACATGGCATCCTTGCCGGCCTACTTCCCGACAGTCTCACGCGTCAGGGAAGAGACAAGGCCAGGTGCCTCAAGGAACGGAGACACACGCTGCTGGCACAGCTGCAAAGTGCTGAATCATACCTGGAATGGGATGCAGCCGCCCGTGAGCTAGACGTCCTCGAGGGCAATGAGGAGTGGAAGACGGATACTTCTACCGGCGACTATAACCCAGATCTCCTTGAGTTGCGTTTGCGAGAGCTCGATCAGGCCCGCACCAACTACGATACGCGGACTATGATGCATCTCATTCGAACCGCTCTCTCGCGAGACCTTGGGGGCATGGGTAATATCGACCTTTACCACCATTCCTACCGCGGCACCAAGAAGTTGATTGAGCGATATGTAGACTCTTCTTTACAGGCGATCACTTGTTTGGTGGAAAGGAGTGTCTGTTACCTCCCTACCGACTTGGATCCTAGGGACTTGTTGGATGCGGTGCTTTATGCTCGCCAGAGCTTCGGTCGAAGCGCTCTCCTACTCAGCGGCGGGGGCACTTTTGGTATGACTCATATCGGTGTTCTCAAGGCCATGTTCGAAGCAAAGCTACTCCCGCGCATTATCTCAGGTGCATCAGCCGGCTCTATAGTCTGTGCTGTGGTCTGTTCGAGGACTGACGACGAGATCCCCCAGTTGCTCGAAGAGTTTCCGCATGGAGATCTAGCTGTATTCGAGGAAGACGGTAACGAGGACGGCATCCTCGGCCACTTAAGGAGACTCCTTACCGAGGGAAATTGGTCCGACATCAAGCATTTGACGCGCGTGATGCGCAACTTGCTCGGTGATTTGACATTCCAGGAAGCCTACAATCGTACCAGAAGGATATGTAATATTTGCGTCTCCCCAGCTTCTATATACGAGCTCCCTCGTCTGCTCAATTATGTCACGGCGCCGAATGTCTTGATATGGTCTGCTGTCGCGGCATCCTGCTCGGTTCCATTCATCTTCAGTGCCGCACCGCTGCTCGTCAAGAACCCTCTGTCAGGCGAGCACAGCACCTGGAACCCCACTCCCCAGATGTGGATTGACGGCTCTGTCGACAACGACCTTCCCATGACGCGGCTCGCTGAGATGTTCAATGTCAATCATTTCATCGTCTCACAGGTAAACCCTCACGTCGTCCCCTTCCTCGCCAAAGACACGTCTAGTCCACCTACTGGTGCTCGTTGTCAGAATGTCTGCGGGGAGGAGTCTGCGTGGCTGGGTGCCATTACTTCGCTAGCTAAGAGCGAGGCCCTGCACAGGATGCAATTCATGGCCGAGATAGGTATCTTCCCGACACTCCTCGGTAAACTGCGGTCTATCCTCAGTCAAAAATACTCGGGCGATATCAACATCCTTCCGGCTCTGGATATCTGGGACCTGCCTAAAGTATTGAAGAACCCGACAGCCGAGTTTATGATGCAATCGTGTCTACTGGGCGAACGTGCAACCTGGCCTAAACTATCACGTATTCGTGACCGGTGCGCTATTGAGCTGGCTCTAGACCGTGCTGTCCACGCGTTGCGTGCCCGCGTCGTTTTTAGCAAGAGTCAGGCCGACTTACGAAGAATGGTGACTAGTTCGCTGGTGAGCACGCATGAGGGAAGACACGGGCCATTTATATCGCCCCAAGTTGACGTCTCTCTAACCAAGGACAACCTGAAATATCGCCATCGACGGTCGAGCGGGAGTAGTGTGTTATTCCCGCCCCGCGGCGGTTTTGCCAACGATGCCCCGTGTAGGATAACAGACGGGGATACGGATAAGGAACGCGTTGAGATCAGCATGCGTCCCTCCGATACCACACCCAGGTTGAAGCTACGGAAACCCCCCAAGATCAGCCATGCGCGTAAGAGGGGACCTAAACCCACTCCCGCTCCATCTTTAGCCGGGGAGAGTATTCCTCGTGATTTCTCTCGGCCTCATTCACCCGCCAGGGCCGAACTTGCAAATGGTATACCTACAGAGAACCTATCCTTCCTCTAACGGCAGCAGGCACAGCGGCACCTACAACTCCCGGGGTTGTTGTCGGCGAACCGGGCACCGCACAACAACCCAGAGCTCGACTATGACTGGCTCTGCCCCACGGCGCTTGGTTTGAAGATGTCAAATATTACACAATAGACGAGAGAATAACGTACTGGGTTTTCTCGAGACTATATAACGCACTTAGAACTAAACCCTTAGCGATAGGCAGTGCCGCGGATAACAGGGCAGGTTTCTTTAAAGGTGTGGGCGCGTAAGCGTACTCACATGTGGCTGTATACGGAAGCCCATATCTGCACTAGGGAAAAAACCATTTTTGGGATAGGTGAACCCCGGGGTAGGAAGGGGTATGGTTAGCACGTACAATATATACAATTAAGCATCTATACGCTCGTACCTTTGCACGACGTTCGGTACGTACCATACAGGGAGGGGGGTCTATGGATAGTATGTCAGTAATAAAGTTAGGGTACCGATACGGTAACTAAGTCTAGTAAGGGTTACCTTAACTAGTTATTCTTTCGGAGGAGTTAAAAGAATTAAAGCAAAGGTCGCGGTACCGATCTTATTACCTTCCCTTCTTATAATTTCAAGATGGTTTTTATAACTACGTAGGAACTAATGTCTAGACGGATATAATGTCTATATTCCATAGGTACCTACCTACCTACCTACCTACCTACCTACCTACCTAGACTTATCTACCTAGACCTATTATCTTCATCTTTTTTCTACAAACACCATGATCTATTACCCATCTTCGAACCTATCTGCGAACCTATCTACGAACCTGTAGGAGCTAGTTTAGGCGTGTGGAATCTATCTATCTATCATCTATCTTCGAACCTATGGGAGATAGTTCGTAGGCGTAGAATCTATCTATCTTCGAACCTATAGAAGCTAGTTCGCGCATATGGAATCTATGGGAGCTAGTTTGCACGCGTGGAATCTATCTACCTATCTTCGAACCTATAGGAGTTAGTTCATGTACGTGGAATCTATCTACTACTTATCTTCGAAGGTAGGTAATAGACGTAAAAGATATAAAGATATAAAGGTACGTACTTAGTAACCTAGAGGTAACTGGGTAATCTTATAGAATGTACCTTTTTTTAAAATAAAGATATTATATCCAGATAGTAACTATGTTGAAAAATGGTAATAATATTAGCCTAGAGTTTAACTTATTCTTATTACCAGGTAGATACTATGTTTAGTTATAGAAAGGATTACTAACATAGTATTAATAGACCCCCCCCTCCCTGTATAGTAATTATTATACTAGAAAAAGTTTTACCCTATCCGAAGGTACTTATTCTTTATATGAAAATTAATAAATACCCTTATCGATAAAGTACGTATCTATATATTTATATTTATTTACTTCTTAAAAAAACCCCTTTTTTAAAAATTTTTTTTTTAATATTTAAAATTTTTTTTAATCATTTTTGAAATCTTTCTAGTTTTTATACTTATTATATTGTAAATAAATAAAGGTATTATATTAATGAATTTATTACTGTATAAGTTTATATTATAATTTATAGTTTAAAATATAAAGTTTAAATATATATATAATTATTATCTTCATTTTTAATTAAGTAATAAGATTATAAATTAATGACCATAGAATGTAGAATATTTATATTTATTATTTAAATGAATTAATAAGAAATTTAAATCTATTTAATAAATACTTAGTATAGTATTAAGATAATATAAAGTTTTCAATAAATAAAGAATTTAATTCAGCTTTTATTAATAAATTTAATGTTAATTAAATAAATCTTTCATTATAAATAATGAAAATATATAAAATTTATATTTATATTTTAATATATATTTCTATAATTTAATATTATATAGATTTTCTATAAGTTAGAAGAATTTTTAATAACAAATATATTTTATTTAAATTATTTTATATATATACTTTTATATTATAATGATAAAATAATATATAATCTTTATTATATTATGTAATATATTAAAATAAACTTTGTATTAATAGTAAATAAATATAGTATTTATAAATATTAATTTTATTATAATTATTAATTAATTAAATTATAAAGTTGATTATTTTTATTTTTATTTAAGATTGATTTTCCTTAAACTTATTATTTTTTTTAATTTAATATAATTATTTAAATTAATAGTATTTTAATTACTTTATAATATCGTAATAGCTAAGTAAATTACTTTTATACATAACTTCTTTTTTTTCCTTTACCTTTCTTTCATTTCGGTTAATACATATCATATTTCTATTACTAAAAGGTAAACTTAAGATATAATTATTATATTAAGTTCTTTACATTTAATATATATATATATTAATTTATTATATATATTATAACTGTTGATAAAATATACTTCAATATAAACTATATAAAATTTTAATATTACAAACGCTTTATTCTTTTATATATTTATTTAATATCTATTATAGTAGTACGGTAAGACATGCCTTCTTAATGTATCACGTAATACGCTACGATAGGACTTATGCCTATATAAAGTAACTATAGCTCCCGTAAGTACGGGACATGCTATGCTTATTATTTAGTTCATTACCTAGCTAGATTACTATCTTTATTATTTTTACCTTAATTAAAGATTCGTTTTTACCATTAGATTTATCGTTCTCCGATTAATATATCTATCTTAGTTATAGGCGCTTAAGTTACTTCGTCGTACCGCTATAGCCGAATAAATGACTTTTACGTTTTACCCCTTTTCTCCCCTTATCTCTTATGCCTTCGGGCTAGCGATTACTACATCTCTACGACTAAGGGGCATAGCTAAGATACGATAACTACATTAGATTCCTTACCTCTCGATTAATATAGCGGTATTAGTTTTATCTATCTTAGATCATCGTACGTACTATAATCTTCGATAAAGTATACTTTCGAGTAAACCTATCCGGATCTCTAGCATCGCGTACGCTCTGCTCCTTCTCACTATAAAAAAGTCAAAGGTTTTATATTAAGTTATTAATTTTGTGTCTTTAAAAAATGAATATTACAATATAAAAATAATTTTAAAGTAAATATAATAACATTATAATAATAACTTATTATCATAATTTTAAATAAGAATATATTATACTATAATAATTTAAAAGGTATTAATATAAAATAAAGAAAAATTTAATTTATAAATAGAAAAACTAAAATATTAAATATAATTATTTTAATTTAAGTTTAATTACTAATTATAAAGATTTAATAATTGTTAATATAAAGATAGGAAGAATAAAGAAGAAGCAAAATAAAAGGGATAACTACTTTATATGAATATAAAGCTTATTTTAATATATTACGTAATATATTAAAAGAATATATTTCATTATATTATTAGTATATATATATTTATTTAATTATTAATAGTTTTAACTTTATTTATTTTAAATTTATTTTACTTTAATTTAAAATTATTAGAATTCTATTTATTAATATATATAAATTTCAATTAATTCTATTCAGAGAATAGTTATAATACGCATAACCTCCTGTTATGCTGATTAATTACAGGGTTAAATACCTTTGTAAAAAACCCTGTAAAGGGGTATCATTTAAAGAATACTTTATTTTTATTAGTTGAAAGTTCGTATACGTTGTTTTAATTAGTTAAAAGTTTATATGACCCTCTTAAAATGGATGCATCCAATAAAACTGCAGCATACGCGACGGGATTCATATATCACTATTTACATACTAACGCGTCGATTTTCTTTCTTTATTAATCCTATTCATAGACGAATCAATCAATCCAGGTCAGTTTCTCCTCATTCAATCAAGAGTCGATTGCTAATCAATCCCTTTTCGCAGTTCAATCAAGAGTCGATTCCTACTTACCCCTTTTTCCGTAGCCTTCGGTGAGGTTCTAGGTTTTCGGCACGAAGACCTAGAGAAGCGCGGAGCGCTTCGACGTATTTTATTTATATTTATTTACATTCTTAAAAATTTAAACCTCGATGAACACATATTTCAGTTTGTAAAATTCAGATATAGTACTATCGGGGTCATGCACTAAACATACATTATATTCTCTTATGAGGGCGTGTACCTATATGTTATATATAGGGCGTTCGCTTTTAAAAATAGTTTTTTCCCTAGCGTAGATATGGGCTTCCGTAGCTGTAGAGATAAGCCTCCTGCTATAACCTAACTTAACTTAAATAAAAGGCCGGGTGCTATAATATACAAAAGCGATTGAATAACTAAAATATGTCAAAGCACTCCGCGCTTCTTTATGTTTTCGTGCTGAAAACCTAGAATCTCTCTACTGAACAGGAGCAGCGTAGGCACGCTATAATGAAGGCATGAGAAAAGGACTACCTAACTACTAATAACTAACCCAGTACCGATTAACCTAGATTATAGTTATAAATAGCTATAATCGGTTAATCGGTTAACTAAAACGGTAGCTAGAAAAAGACTAAAAAGGGAAGGTAAAAAAGACAAGAAAAGGTATAGCAAGAAACGAGTAAATAATTATTAGGTCGTAATGCCTATAGGTTTAAGTCTAACTAATAAAAATATAAATACGTAACCTATATAAATAGATATCGAAAAGGCTACGTAACCTAGATCTACCATATTACTATAGCCTCCCTAGTTTAATTAATCCCTAAGGAGTAATTAAACTCCTAATAATAGGTACGGTAGCCCTCGTTTCCTACTGAACCTAATTAACCTAATCCCGATTAACCTTAATTAACTGAAAGTTAGCTAGTTTAATTAAAGATTAATAGGATAAGTTAAGAAATAGGTCTTTAACTAGGAGCGATTATAATAGTAATAAGTAGATGGTAGGGTAGGTAACTATAATCATACTTAACTATACCTAATCCTAATTAATCCTTAACCTATTCAATCGCTATTAATTAGGAGCTAAGTTAGGTTAATTAACGATCAATAGGAAATAATAAGAAAGATCTGATAATAAGAACTAGGCTAACGGAGCTATAAACCTATAAGCTAACCTAATCGACCTATTCCTAATTAACTCTGATTGGTTAAAAGCGAGATAGCTCTATTAGGACTACTAAGAAATAACAGGGATTAATAGTTAGGAAATGGGAACTACAACGGAATAGGTAAAATAATCGTAGCTCGCGTAAAAAACGAAAGAAATACTCTTATAAAATAATTAATGTAACGTAATCTCCGTTCTTTTCGTCTATAGCTATTGCCGATTCTTTTTAACTAATCCTAATTCTATAAGCTAACTAATATATCCTATTTATACGCGACTATAACTCGTTTCTAGCTATTATTCGTCTAGTAGTATCTATCGGGCTTCCCTTAACCCTCGATCCCTCCTCTGTACGTAGTTTTAAGGGCTCTGGTTCTTCCTACTAACTATATATTAGTAAGCGCGATAAGAAGGGTCTCCGGGTATTATCATAT